CATATTAATGGGGGGAGGGGGAGTTGAAGCGCTATCTCCGGACACGCGAGTTGTTCTTCCATGAACGTTGAGACAGTCGCTGGTCTCCTGTCGGTCCGATTCGTTGGCCTTTCGCGACAAGTATCGCAGGATGTCCAAATAGTACACAGCCGATCACCCTTGAGGGTTGGCCGTTTCCTTCATGGGACAGTTGTGAGTGCGTGGCAGCTTCAACCCACTAAATGGGTGTAGCCCATGAACGTAACGCGTTCGAGCGTATGTCTATATTACAAGTAAAACCACTAGTATGTGAGCCACGGACTGGGTTCCTTAGTAAAGCATAGGGGAACCGCAAATGCCACACATTACCGAATTTCGCCTTATTTCCTCCTGGCTTCTTGATGGCCCACCCACTGTGCCTAACACTGCTTCAGCACATCGCTTCAAAGAACCCAACACCAATTATCTAAATTACCCATATTAGTCCCGGACTATTCATACCGTAATCCTCTTGACGACAAGTTAATTATGCTAGTGGTAACTGCAGACAATCCGGCTAATTCACGCCGTGAAGCTGTTTGACGTTTTGTAGCAGTTGCTACATTGTTTACTAGTTAACAACGCAACAGGTGATACTGCCTAGGTTTTGAGTGGGCACCTGACAGGTTTGAGTTACATTTGACTATTTATTCACTCCGGCCTCCTTCTTCCGAGCCTTTCCAAATCGAGCTAGTGCCTTGAGCACAAATTGAGGACAGCGACCGCATGAGTGTTGGATGGTGGGAAAAGAAGTATGGAGTCGGCGATGGGTTTCTTATAGCAGTACCCTTGGAAAGCCCACCGCCGAATTCACCATATGCCTTTTCCATGTGAAATAATATGAAAAGCCCAGGAACGGACTTTTTAAGGAGAGATCCGGTGCGGTGCTTTTGAGCCACTTATCATGCGTGAAAAGTGGGGAAGCCTGATGTTCCGAAACGCCATGCAAGAGAGAGCGAAAAGTTAGCTCTCTTCGGCTTTGGGGGTGGGGGACCATTTCGCACTTTCGCTAGTTCCTTCTGCTAATGTTAATCAACCTGTCAACTCTTGTAATGCTACAATGCCATGCAAGTGAACCGTTTTCATTATAGGAGCTTACAGGTCTCTACACACTCCCCTGTGTACCATATGGTAGCCTGAACAAGCCCCACTACGCCGCAAACTCATCCGTTTTCAAAGGACGTAGTTCGAGCAAATTGTAGATCGCATCGTCTGGAAACTGCATGGAGCAATCCGAACGTGAACTTTCTAGTTGACGCGAAGGCCCTCCACGACTCACGTATCGTTCGACTTTCTGAATTTTAAAGATATGCCCTGCGTCCATTTGATGTCCACTGCTGACTTATCATAAGGGATGGAAGATGTTGTACATAATCGAGTTGTCACCCAACTGCACATGCACCCCAGTGCAGATTTGCGCACGAATGCCAATAATGTTCAAATCGGGAATCGCGGTGACCCGGTTGGATGTATGTCGTTTGGCGCGATCTTTTTGCTACCGACGTGTCAAACCAGCCGTCTTTCAGGAAGGGCAGCTCGTCCGAAGCTTCAGAACAGTGATTTTTTTTCTATCAGTATGCGATCGTTAGGAGACCACCTGGTTCAGAAGCATGAACACTGAAGCCAACATGCACGGCTTCAGTTTTCATGAAGGCTGTCAAGAACTAAACCCTATAATTCAATGATTTGGAAGAGATATCCAATTTGGTAGACCTGTCGTGACGCGTCAACGGGAATGTGATCGCGCCAAACGACCGCCTTCCTACTCGGTTTCCGGCGGGGTCACGGTCCCGCCCTCTGGCACCAGCAACGCCCAACTCAGTTCTCAAAACTTCCTGGTGGTGTTTGTGTTAGTTGCTCCTCTATCTCTCATTTCGAGTGGTGACAGTGAGGTGATAAGGGAAAAGAGTTGGCACCAACAAGCAAGAACTCGTCCAACCACGCCCTTTCCTTGCCTTATGCGCGTGCAAACGCGGTTCAGCAAGAGCTTCTGTATGGCGCGCTTCCGCCGGGTTCTTATGTTTTCTTCACTTTTGTGTTTTTCGCCATCTTTTCTTTAATATTTGAGCCGCACAACAGAATATTTTTGAACGCGCGGCGTGTTTTCAAAGGACTGTTTTCAGCAGGTTGGTGGATCGCTTCCCCTAAAAATTGCCTCGGACCACGTGGACGTGCTTTTATTGGTTGTCGAAGTATTTTTTAACTATTCACGTGTCAGTCGACTTCTCAAACTTACCGAATTTCAGTTAGCAAGCTTTTTTGAATCTTAATCGACAAGCTTTTTTTCAGAATGGCTTAATCGAATAGGAACTGTTGCCTGCCCATGCCTCTTCTGGACCCTGAGGTGATCGTTTTATCAGACAGCGAGGAGCAGGAATCGCAAGATCTTTTTGAGTCGCCTACTAATGAAAAGAAGTCCAGAAGTTTCAATGATGATTCGGACGACTTATTCTCATCTCCTGAACAAGCTAAAGATTGTTGTGTGGTGGAATATCGAAAAAAGACATCTTCCTTAAGTCCAAGTTGGTTTCCTTCTTCATCTTCTAATTTAATTTTTTTAATTTTTTTCCTCAAGTCTTTTTCTCTGTTGTGGTCTTTTCTCTGTTAATGGTTTTGAGTTCACTTAGTTTAAAGTGGTTATTCTGTGCCTCCCTCTATTTTTCCCTTTTCTTCTTTTTTTTCACTATTTCCTTGTTTCTACAAATGTTGTGTCTGTTTTGATTAACTGACTGTTTTAGTTGTAGTGCGGTAATGGCCGCAAATAAAATAAAAAAATAAATAAAGTCGCTTTGAGACTTGAATAGTGACTTCAGAGTCGAACGTACGGAATGGGACCGAATCAAGAAACAGCAATGGGAGGATGAGACGGTCATCATCCGTTATTGTTTCTCCTCGGAAAAGTCTCACACCTTCGCTCGTTTGGCGTCGAAAAGTAAGCTGTTTCCTCTATCTCCTTTCCTGCTCCAGTTCCTTTATCGATACTTTGCTTTAGAAACGACAACCTTAAGCTGTGAAGGTTCTCGCTGGTAACCGCGTGTTGCCGACTTTGTAATAGTGCATCCACACTTGGCGTCAGCGTTTTGAGCATTCGCCAGCGACTTGAGCGTTTGGGTATATATGAAGGTATAAGAATCGATTCTCGCTGAAAACTCTAAACGCGATCGATACTATACCTTTCTACTCGCTGGAAACGCTGGAGGACGCTTAAATAGTTGACTGATGCTTAAAACGCTGCCGCAAAGTGTGAACGCTTTCTTGCGGTTTTTCCAAGGTTTTCGATCGCGTTCAATCCTTGAGTCACTGGAGAGTCAGGGATTCCGTGAATGTGGAGTCGCCGAAGAGAAAACTTACGGGCCGAATCGAAGAAAATTTCTCGGAAAGAGTTGTTGCAAGTTGAATGATCATCGATTTTCCGACTCTCAGGTCCTCCTATCTGCTCTTGAGTGAGGTCAATCGATACGTATTCCTTTCAGTTCGGTGATTTTCTCTGGCTCTCCAGATCGACACTTTCCTTTTGACGGGTCCCTTATTTCTCTGATTTTGACAACCCTTCAGTCTCGTAGGAAGTGAACGCATCATTAGAAAGTGGTGGTTTATGATTTCAGACGAAAAACTAAAATTTCATTCAACATAGATAATGGTGAATATTTCTCTGCTATTTGTGCGGGGACTCAAAAAAAACAGCTTTTCCTTGTGACGCTCGCCATCAACTTTCAAGACGGCCTAAGTATTCAAACTTGAAGCATAAGCCAAGTTTCCATGGTTGGCTCACTTGTAAGCAGGCTCCTGAAAACCGTTGCTCTGACACCGGAATTTATTATTCGTTCAGCTTTTCGGGCAGCGTCGCTATGGTCCATATTTAATTTTTCATGCGTCAACCCTAGCAATCGAGTTCATCATCAAGCAACCCAGTATCCCATGCGAAGACACAAGGGAGTGTGCAACTGAGCTAAGAGAAATCCGGTCTACGTTCTTTGAATGCCATTTGAGTCTTCCCCGGCTATTGCTACAAGCTTTAGGAGGCTCGCTACGCGAAGATTCTCATATTCCGTCCTTCAAACTCTGTAAACTATATTTGAAATGGAGTGATACACACCATTAGAGTAACTTTACCTATGAGATAAGGGTTATCTTTCAGTTGTTGATCATCTCATTGCTGTCTTTTCTTCAGAGGAAATCAACTTCTTCAACAGAGAGGAAATCGCCTTGGTCTTATCCATTGGTAGGAAAGAAGTCACCTAAACAAATTAAGACAAGTGGTTCTCCTGAAGGAGTGAGTAAGCTCGATAATGTAGTATTTTGCAGGATTATTCCGTGTTTTCAGTGTGACTCATGGACAAAAGCTCGGTTGAATTCAATCTCTAAAAAGTTCGAGGAGCGCAAGAAAATGATGATTGATTTGGTGCAAAAGGATAAGGACTTTCTCGATATAGTACGCGGTGGAGCTCTAGACGAAGTGCAGGTGAGCTCATGAAGTTTGAGAATGTCCTTGCTTCAACGAAACCGCTACTTACCGGCTAATGCCTTTTGGATTGCAGTGATTTAAAAATATGGCTCCTTAGAGTGCGTCCACACTATGCGTCAGTTTTTTTTGAGCGTTTCGGGGAACTGGGGAAGTATAGGTATCGATCTAGCCTACCCCAGCGGGCGGCAGTGTTTTGAGCGATCATAAAGTATAGGTGTCGATCTAGCGTTTTGAGCATGCGTCGAAGATTTGAGAGTTTCCGCGGGCATTCGCTGAAAACGCTGCGTGCTCTCAGACCGCTGAGGCGGAGTATGAAAGCTTCCTCACTACTAGGTTATTTCATAATTTTTATCAGGTTTCCCTCACTCCGATCAGCTTCCTGCTTTTCTGGCAAATAGGAATTTTTTTCTAGTTCTTCTAGAAAAGAGAGGAAAATTTCTTCTAGAAAAGGATCTGAAAGTTTCCTTTTTTCAGAAAAAGGCTAAAGAGCGACTAGTAGAAGGTGCTGTGATCCGAAACAAAGCTGATCGTGCAAGAATGAAAGGAGTCGCATGTGCTACATCCAAAGCATACTTCGATGCTCTTGAACTGAGTCCTCAATCAAAAGAGCAACGCATCAACGAGGTTTCCATTCCTTTTAGTCCCTATGCATGATAACGTTTGGCATTAAGTTTCATAGAAACTTTAGAAGTTTTTTCTAGCGCTTTTTAGTTCTCTTATTACAGGTGAGCAGGATCCGTGTGGTAGCTCAGCAAATGCCCAGCACTCCTGAAAACTACTGGGAGGTGAGTGACTAGATAATGGTGAAGATTTTAGCCGGTGTCATGTCGATATAATATGGAGTTTTATTTGGACTTCTTATATTTACTCTCTGCTTTTACTCGGTTTTTTTATTCGATGCGAGGTTCAACCCCACCCCTGACACCTACCTCGTACCCTTTTTCAAGCGTATACTACGCGTTTCCCGCATGCTCTCACCTCTAGATGCGACGAAGGGACTTTGAAAGTTGGTACTGTTTGGGAGCCTTATATAGCAGTAAAAGAGTAATAACACAATGAAGCCGTCATTAGTTACTTCCTCGGATGTGAAGCGTTTCTTCCCCATCTCGGCGCGTGCACTACCCAGAATATCTCCTAGATAGTTGACCTGAGAGACACAGGCACAGAAAGAGCTACCCGATTGGAGAGTCGTAAAAAGGGTAGCAGCGCCTCAGCACTGCTACGTTAGGTGGATAGGGTCCTAGTGCGAATGCTGCTTATGTCACCCGCTTACGCCTTTTTGACCACGTTCGGCGTGACTGGGAAGTGTCTGCCTTCGTACTTTTCCACTTGGCGTTTTGGGAGAATCGGAGCTTCGAGTGGATCGGTGTTTGGGGATAATCAACGTTCTGAGCGAAAAGGATAACATAGTTATCAATAGAAGCCGATGTCTGGCGTTCTTGGAGAATCGGCGGTTGGAGCGACAGGAGTAGTTCGGACATCGATTGGGCGCCCAAAATATTGATTCTTTCAGAGCGCTAGAAGGGCCGATACTCCCAAAACGCTAACATTCTGCGCCATACTTGCTACTCTTTCCGCTCAAAACGCCAGTCAGCTCAGAATGCTGATTCTCTCAAAACGCTGATTCTCTGAAAGCACCGACTTGCAAAGTATGAACGCAGTCTAGCGCCCCAAACCCTGACTTCCCCTATTCCAACCTTGAAGCATTTTCACCGCACTTCAGAGTGTTCATATTCTCCAAAAGTTGAACTAGTTCTCTTCTTTTATCTCCAGAAAGATACATTTCGTATTTTGAGGTGGGATTTCCTTCGGAGTCAGAGCAGCGTCGTCGAGGTCTCATCAAGGAGGTGAGAAAGAAGTCTGGTAGAAAGTTGTTTCAATCAGAGGACACAAGCTTTAGCAAATGATATCCAAGCTCTGCAATACATGCCTGTGGATAATGTACTCTACCTCCACACACACTTTTACTAAGCTTGTTACTCTTATTTGCCTCTCTCTCCTGTTTGTGAGGGATATACATGCATTTTCTGGTGATACTGGTATTCATAGTTGAGTCAAATACTTTTAGGACTGCAACTATCAAGGATTTTTTTTCTTACAGGTGTTAAAAACTTCCGGTTTTCTTCTTCGTGTCATATTTAGGGACTGTGTTCCCAGCGTTTTCTAGGCAGCTGTTTAGGCTTAGCATAAAATTTGGTTCTAGGTTTTGTGCTTGTATAAATTCACATCTGTTGAATAGTATGAGTTCATCCTGCCGTTAAATAATCTAACTGTATCTCATCTAGGATCTTCTGCTCTGTTGCGTACCTCATTTTCTTAGGATTAGCAGCAAAAGGTTCTGCGTTGTACTTGACGATGTGAAATGTTTGGGTTCAATGTTCTTGTCAAGTCAGGTATTTTCTCTTTCTTCTTGTACTCGAAAACCTCGTAATTTTATGTCAGTAAAGCTACATTTATTATTCTTGTTAGAGTGATTTCATCAGATAATGTCTCCACCAGGCGCAACAGACTCGTCGCCTTCGCTCTTGCGACGGGGATGGGGTAAGACCTTATGTCCATATTGTAATAAACTAATTTGTACCACATTTCCTATTTATTTGTCTCGACGTCTACTTCATAACATTTAAAGAGTGGCATCGCAGGCAAACTAGCAGAGTGTCCTTATGGTCAACAGTTTCATATCAGAAACGGGGGGGGAGGCGTGGCAGCGTACTCTATTTGAATGTGTTTTTCGTGGTGAGGTATTCCTATTGAAACATCTGTCATATTGGATAAATACATTACCAACAATAGTCCCAAACCAAAGTAGCTTACCCACGCGTGGCCAGGTACGAGTGGCATACGCAGCCACGCCCATTCCATCTCCGGGATACGGGGCTTACATTTGTTTTCCTCCCACTGTTCGGTTGTGCTGAGCCACACCAGTTGATTCGAGATTCTGCAGCGGTTTCTTGTTGTATCATTTAGATCATGAAGTGAATGCCTTATTTGAAAATTCCTGCCCTTTTTCGTCGTACTCCTTTTTATGCCCCACATCCTTACTACTGGTTGCTAAGCTTTGCAAGCGAAAGCGTATTTCATTTAGTGACGATCCTGAAACCTAAAGAATATATAGCGAATAGGGGGTAGAAAGGGGAGGGGGTTACGAATGGGAAACTATTTATTTACCATAGCTCAAGCATGGGTGCCATAGTGTCCGAAGGGAAAGTTTGATAACCACTTCCAAAAGTAATTATAGCGCAGCCGGGAGAAAGACCTTTCATCGATTCTAAAGGGCTGGAGTGGCTAGAGCCAATTGTTCCTCACATCTGGTCTATGTGGGTTGTTACGACAATGCAATTAGGTCTATAGAATAACTTTTCGGGCAAGTTGGTGTTGAATATCCGTAAGAGCGAATCAGCGTGGAAATGTGTGGACAGAACACAATGGTTAAGAAACTGTACACAAACTCAATGAACGTGTAAGTGAATAAGTGGGGGTTTCGGATGCACCTGGAAGGTCCATAGAGTCCATAGACGTAGACCTGAGAGGACGAG